AAATTTCATTTACTAGGAATGAGTATGGATATTTTTGCAAATTTTGGGGTTAAACAGAATTCACAGTGTAAAGTCATATGGATTTTTAGAGCTCGAAATCACAACCCGTCTATACATGTGTAAAACAGCTCCTTTAAAACCAAAAGTTTATTAATATTGAAATAAACCAATCGGGATATTGGTAACTCACTTTCCTCCTCTGTCACTTGGATAAAAGAAGGTTGTTATAGAGATAGCTGGAATGTGCACACGGAAACAAATTGAATGTATTGGTTTTTAAGACACATTGTCGCAACCACCGGAGAGAACACTCTTGTCCTAGGTGCCCGAATTAAAGTCTCAAATGCCGTCCCTCTTTATGTGCCCATGGAACTTTGAGACTGCCGACTGCGTCCACGGTACACACAGCAAGAAAAACGCAATTAGATCGCCGAAATGTATGGGTGATTTTGTGAGCTGAGTTTTCATTGAAAAATCTACTTCCTAGCAAATTTCTTATGCAGCATTCTACTTCATTGTATATCTGGTTACATAGAGCAAAATTCACACATAATTTTGGGGAAAGATTCTGTTTCCCCTTTGTGCGTGAAATGTACGCAATCTGGTTCTTCACCGCTTTCTTTGACAAATTGGAAAATTTGTTCTGCCAATTGAGTCTCGCTTTATTTCCGAGGTTTGCTGGTTTGATGAACGCGAAATCAAAAGAACATATACCACTACAGTGGGTGAACTCATGATACATATTTGAGCAACAACTTTATTACTTATCAGTGTTTCACTGTGTCTAATTAAAGCTCCTGAATCAGCTATACAATGCGAGGCCTAATTTTCATATAACAGTTAGTTTTGACATCTAAAAACCCAAGCTGTAGAGTTGACGTTGGGCAATCCTTTTTCTACTCAATTTGTGTATCTACTACCATGGCGATTGCAATTCTGTTTACAGTTTTACTGAGTTGAGTAAATTAGCATTCAATGCTGTCAAATTAGAAAAGATAATCCATTCCAGAAGACAAGGTTCTTCCGTCGTTTCGCTTCTAATTTTGAAATTTTCTCGGGACGAAGCGTGAATTTTCGTTGACTGTCACAAATAATTTGGCACTTTGATGTGATTACTTTTCTGCATACATCAACACATATCATTTTCTCCAAACGCAGACTCTAGAATATGCGCATGAATATTTTTTTCTTATCGTCAGAGTATTGATAGATTCTTTTCAAACGTGAGCTAATCAAGTGACGCTATCAGTTTCACCTTTAACGTTACTCACCCTGCATGATATTACCCAACATTCAGATTGCATTTCATTGCTGAGATTGCAAATATATTTTGGCTTCGGAGACACGAATTGGCGAAAACTGACATCTTCCCTACAACCCGCCTGCATGACGAACACGCATCCGACATACAAAGCAACATGGATCGCACTGTCACAGTTTTCTGACCCACAAAGCAACATGGATCGCACTGTCACAGTGTAAGTTCTGCCGTTGACAGGCAAACTGACGTCACGTCGGCTCCATTAGTACTGTGGCATTTCCGAAATACAGTTTAGGGTTATGTTTTGATGCGCTGTGTATCTTACACTCTTCATAATGGCGGTAATACAGATATGTGTACATGTATGTAAATTTTGGACACCAGGTTGAGATAATTTTATTCGGCATCTTTCTGGTCCACGTAATTTTCACAAAATCTTGCAGTACAGTACTTTTTCTTACTCGACAAACCGCTGTGCAATGCGTCCTCCTTCATTATCATACTATACTGTTACTCAGAAAACGATCGCTCTTTTAACGAGAAATTATTCTAGATTCTAAAAAACAGTCATTATGAACTAATGACTTTAGTACGCCTTTTTTGTTCCCACATTGTCACAGAAATGCTCTTGTTGGCCCTGACCGCAATTGTTGTAGCATAGAAGATCATCTACAAGTTGGAAACTGGAAATCATTGTGGCTTTCACACATTCAAAACATGGCCCAATATGCAACGTTTTCGTGTTTTGATTTTCAAAGCCGCTTCGTATATTGATACAAACGAACGAAAAGTCCCCGTAACCTCTAGGTAGTTAGGATATACACCAGCCCACTAGATCAATAGCACTTAGGCTAGCTCGGCCTTCCGCGAAAAGGTCGTTCGGTTAGGACGATAAACACTTTGGATCTGTAAAAGTTCATAAAACTGAAAGCCCATGGAAGTACTGTAAATCCTCATAAAATGAAGCCCTCACCAGCCCCTTTTTGTTTGCAGTTGTTTTTGTAAAAGGGCGAACTATTGTTACGGCTAATTTGTTGCACTTAGGTAAGTGCTCAGATATTGAAGTAATGCATCAATCCCTCTATGCCGAAGGGAAAACCCAAAATCTCCAGATATTCGGAAGATAATCGGTGGCACTAAATCAAACAAGTAACTGTCTGTTATATTAGCCACCGTTTTTAGCCACCGTTTTGACGTAACTATAGCCAATGAGATTAAGTATTCAAAAGTCATCATCGCTGTATGATGAATCAGGTAACAACACTTATCCTGCAGCAAAGTATAACAACTTATTATTCTGGCCGGCTGATTAGATTCGCAGGACCCATTCCAAACTTATACTTTTCCTTGTTATTTTCAAGTAGTGAATAACGCCTTTTCCATCAGGAAAAAAGCCCTATTTGGCAACCGAGTTTATTAGTTTTTGGTTGGGCTACAGATTTCACGGAAAGCACTTAAGTTTCATATTTATGTCTTCAGTGAATAGCTCTCGTGGACACCTTGGAAAAATTCTCAGATGTTTGATGTCCCACTGATGTGCTACGCAGAAAGTGCTATCGTGACAATGGCGATTTGTAGCCGAATCAAAGTTCCTTCAAAAAGAAAAGAGTAATGTCTACATCAAACTCTCTTTCGTGCTTTTGGCACGGATTTTGCGCTCTTATTTTTACGGAAGCATTAGTTCTTGATACGAAAAGCTTTGTACGTATGAATAATTGTTCAATGGAAATTTGATAAGCAAAAAGGGTTTTGCATGCCACGCCGAGAAATGTTTCCATAACTAAACCGATTTTAAAAGCAAAATTGTTTTTTTATCAGACGGGAATGGCCATTCACTTTATCTTAAGCCACATGAATGTATTTACTCACATATTCCACGATTTTCTGGCGTAGCCACTCTTCCACCGTTGCTTGGTCTCAACAAGCCCTCTTATAAAATGGGACAAAAAAAGTTATTTCAGGCACTAGACGGCGATTAAAATGAATCTTTACTGAGTGTACAAAACAATTCAAATGGCTCCTTGAAAAAAGAAAACTAGAATCCCGCAGCGTATTAGTCGGTGAATGTTGGTCGCTAAACAATTTCAGACCTTTGAGGTTGACTGAAAATATCAAAATTTGACCGCAATTTGACTTATTTTTTTTAAAGCTGATGCTTTTAGATGCAGTATACATTATGTAATTCGAAGAATTTTGGTACCCATGCAACCATTATCCACAA